TTTCTTCCCTTGGCATCACTGGTGTCCAGCAGTCCACTTCCCTCACCCAAATCCCCAACAATTCTTGCACTTCTACCTATTCTGAGTTTTGCAATTGTCACCCTAATAGATCTTAGTCAGTAAGGCCACCACCCAAGAAGTAAACAAAACTTTGAGCTGCCTGTTGACACAGACTAATCCTGCCTAGGTCACAAAATCACGGTGGTAATGCTGGCAGAGTAGCTAGCAATGCACTGACTACAGTCCAGATCTGCCAACTGTCAGATGTGTACTGGTATCTTGGAAAGCTACTTTACTTTTATCAAAAAAACGTGGGGCTTTCTTCCACCCTACCCAATTCATGCCAGGACCAATAGTAAATTAATCAATACATATTTGTTGAGCACTTACAATGTGTTTATGCCAGTGGTTCTCTACTGACCCTGGTTGTGCACTGACATCAAAGCTCCCAGGCCAGATACAAAATTTTTTAAGCCACTTTCTTTTCTTTTTTTTTTTTTAAGATTTTATTGATTTTTAGAGAGGGGAAGGGAGGGAGAAAAAGAGGGAGAGAAACATCAATGCGTGGTTGCCTCTCCTGCACCCCCACTGGGGATCTGGCCCACAACCCAGGCATGTGCCCTAGACTGGGAACCGAACCTCGGACCCTTTGCTTCACAGGCTGGCACTCATCCACTGAGCCACATCAGCCAGGGCCAGATATGAATATTTTTAAATGGTAAATTCTGATGCAAGACAAGTTTGGTGCCCTGGCTTTTAGGCATTACAGAATAAAAACAAAGTGTAAGACACAGTTTCAGTCTTGAAGAACTTATCCACAATCACAACAGACTTGGAATAGAATGTTAGTCCCCTAATTTGTAATCATTTTACAATATTATCTGTGCTTAAGAAATAGAAGAAGAGAGAGTAATCTGGATAAGAATTGCTCCTATTCCCTAGTCCAATCATATACCGATTCTACCTGCAACTCCTGATATACCTGTCTACACCCCTTCTATCCTCCAGACAGTGACAGTACTATTCTCAGGAACTGTGGAGACACCCAAGTAGGAGGATAAACGGAGACTCTCAATCAGGTGGTCATGCAGTATCTTAAAGTCTAGAATCTCTCAAATTCATGCTGTCATGGAGCTTCTCTTAGAAAGAATTCTTTAGCCCTGGCCCGGGAGTGTACCCAGTAATAGCACTGTCCCAATACACCAGGGTCTGGGGTTCAATCTCCAATCAGGGGACATACCAAAAAAAAAAAGCAACCAATGAATACATAAATAATTAATGGAACAGCAAATGAATGTTTCTCTTTCTTTCACACTCCCTTACTCTCTATCTAAAATCAATAGATAAATTTAAATAATAAGAATTCTTTAATCTCCAACAATACCAGTCACCTCAGTCTATACTTAGAGTGCCTAAGAAAAGTAAAGAGTACACTGAGTCTTTGTAAATTTAAGAGGTCCTTCACCCTGGCTAGTGCAGCTCAGTGGATTGAGTCCTGGACTGAGAACCAATAGGTTGCCGGTACAATTCCCAGTCAGGGCACATGCCTGGGTTGTGGGTCAGGTCCTCAAAAGGGGGCACATGAGAGGCAACCACACATTGATGTTTCTCTCCCTCTCCTTCTCCCTCCCTTCCCCTCTCTAAAAGTAAATAAATAAAATCTTAAAAAAAAATCACCCAAATTCATAAGGCTAGTAAACTCAAGTTTCTCATATAGCATATGCTTAAAATAAAAATACTCTAAAAATATTAAACATATTTTAGTAAACTCCTTTTCAAGATGTGCAGATTGTGGAGGCTTCATAAATTAAAAACAAAACTTTTTGACATAAATCCCATCCAGCTGTGATGTTTTACTAAATACCACATTGAAGGGAGGAACATCAGCTTTAAATTCTGCAAACATGAAATCTCCAGATCCTCACCTGATGAGACTTTCTCTGAACTATATGGAAAAAGGTATAATTCTGTTAATTGTTACACAAAGAGGGGCAGAGACACTATAAATTACTCTTTAAAAAAGAGGGGTATAGCCCTAGCTGCTATGGCTCAGTGGATTGAGCCCCGGCCTGAGAACCAAGGGGTTGCCAGTTTGATTCCCAGTCAGGGCACATGCCTCAGTGCGGGCCAGGTTCCCAGTTGGGGGCATGTGAGAGGCAACCACACAATGATGTTTCTCTCCCTCTTTTTCTCACCCCCTTCCCCTCTGTCTAAAAATAAATAAATAAAATCTTTAAAAAAAAAGGGGGGGGTATATAGTATCAGTCAAACATCTAAAACAGGAACCAACAACGGTATTAAAAGGTAAATTTTGGTACTGAAGAAAAATGCAAATTGGTACATATTAATTAGAATAAAATAGAAAGAAACAAAAAATACATGTATCTTCCATGTAATGCTGTTTTTAGGACCCATCACTCTGAAATTAGCTTGGTTTACAATTCCTTGCAATTGTTCTTGTCATATAAATTCTATCCATAGACATCCACAATCCTTTCACTTCCACTCCAAAATCCAAAAGGCTGCAAAAAATAAGTTTTTCATTACTCACTTAGCAACAAAAGCTGATGTGAAATGACATGAGGCTACTTAATAGTTTTTATTTATCCCTGTTGATATGAAAATGCTGACATTTTACTACAGAAAAGAGTTTGATTACAAAGTGCTGCCCCTGACCTCTCTGGGATGTTACATAACCACAGTACATGCACCATATTTCATTTCTAAAATCCAAAAAAGTTCTAAATTCAAAAACATTTGCAGCTCCAAGAACTTTTTTTTTTGGGGGGGGGCGGTCACAAGGTACTGCAAACTGGTGTACTAATTAAAACTAAATCTTATACAGAAAATATAACCAATATTGAAAATAAAGGTAGATCTTCACATGCAATAAATTCAATGTCTTAACAACTATTCACAATACACAATCCTATAAAATAAAGTATTAAAAAGACTTTTAACAAATGTCAATAACCTAACACACCATTATGTGTTTTTCAAGTGATGGTGACATCTGCATCACCCAATTCCTCTTAGGTTAAAATGCATTAATTTAAATCACAGTTAAAACAGACCCAAAGACTGCAACTGGTTAATTATGTCGAGAAAAAGAATCATCCACTGATAAGTAATATATCCAGTAAAATGTTCTCATTTTTTAAAAAGTTTATCTCAGAGGATTTAAGATATAAAATTATTTTATTCCAGACTATAATTTCCAAACAGTAAACAAATTACAATTGACTACTTCTGTAAAAGCAGAGCCTGGACAGAGGCAGCAACAGGGACAGCTCTTAAATATATCTGAACAGGAAGACGAGTTTCCTTCCTTCCTCCTTCAGTTGCCGCTTTCTGGTTTTAGAATTTCAAACAAAGAAATACATATTGGCTCCACTGCTAAGAAACGCCCTCTTTCTTAGCAACTTCCTCTTCCAATTTTCTTCCCTTCCATTGACATATCAGAACAATACACAATGACGGTCCTACCATTTTAATTAACCAAAAGCTCCAAGGTTTGGCAAAATTTAGGGCTGTAATTTATAGTACACAACTACTCACAATGCAGGTCCACAATCTTCACTAAGCTAGAGGTAGAAACAGAGAACACAAAGAAACATGCTTAGTCAGATGTGGGCTGTTGAAACTTTAGGAATCCAAAGAAATTTGAACTAACAAATGGGACACTTCTCCCATCCCCCCAGAAACTTGGCCTATCATAGGAAGGAGAAAAAGTTACTGGGCTGGCACCACTCTGAACCAAGCGTCAAGTCTACACACCAATGACAGTTGGTGAACTTTCTTCCCTAGGCCACCCAGCCAGAATTCAAACTGAATTCTCTGAAGTTCCAGCACACTTCAAAGTGATTTCTACAAGTTAGAAATGATCCTTTCCAACTCATAGACTGAACAAAGGGGAGATCAAGACCCAGCCTGTCTTCCAGAAGTGTCTAGGACCAGATCCCTCCCCAAATTTGTGACAAAGCAAACTTCTCACAAGTGGGCAGAGAATTCCCCCTTGCCCAGTGAGTCTCAAAGGAAACACCTTATCCTTGGTAAGTTCTGCACCTTACAGGCTGACCTTGAGCAAGTTACCTAACTCCCTTAGTTTTCTTATGTGCAAATTCTCAAGAGTAGCTGTAAAAAATAAGAATATATGCCTCAACAAGGTCTGGCACACAGTAGGAGCTCCATAAGTGTTCTGCCTCCTCCTCCCTACCCTCCTGCATTCTTTTGGGCCTAAATTTCAAGCATAGCCCCAAGAGGCTCCAAGGATTCCTTCCTCTTCTGCTTTTATGGAGAACTACATAAAACTTCCCCATCTCAGAGGCTCTAGGATCCTGCAGCACCGAGACATCACTCCATCATAGTCTGAGCAGCCCATCCAAAGCCTTCGTCAAAAAGACCCTTTAGCCAACTCTCCTTACTCTGCAGTACCATTCTGAACACATAGGCACCTCCAAATTACCCTGCAGTACCATCCTGTACACGTAGGTACACACAGTCCCAATCACCACTTGGCAACTTAGGCCAGCAGTCTCACAAACAGCAACCTCCATTCCCTCATGGCCTGTAGATGGAAACTGAGGCTCCGCCTGGGGAACTTGCCCAAGATCTCATACAACATCTGGGATCCAACCCATGTACATCTGCCTGCAAAGCCTCCTCTTTGCAAAAGGGGAAACTGAAGACCAGAGAGGGAAGTGACTTGCCCAAGGTCACACAGCGAGCGGTGGCAGAGCTAGGTCAAGTTAGGGCACTTTCGAATCATGACGGGCTCGTGGGCCCCTCCAGTCCCCGAAGGGATCTCCTGCACACCTCCTTCTAGGAGAGAGGAGTGGAGAGTAAGACGCCACACCGCGCACACCGCTCACCCAGCCTCTACCAGTCGGTGGCAGGAGGCGAGGTGCCCACACCCGCAAGACCTGAGCGGCTCGGGAGGGGCGGCCCCGCCGGGCCCAGTGCCTCACAGAGGGGCCCGCCAGCGGAGACTTGTTGCTCACCTGGTCTCGCGCAGTCGCCCTCAGCGACAAAAGGGCCCGCTAGCCGGCCTTCTTTGCCCTGGTCTGTTCCCGCGGGCCGCCGCGCCGGCTGCCACACTGCTGGACCCCCCTTAGTGCGCTACGCCCCCAGCCGTGGACAGCCGGCTCGCGTCCGCCATTACGGGATTCCCCGCCCCAGGACGCAGCCACACCCCGCCAACGACCCTGATTGGCCCTCAGCCCCACCCGCCTTGGGCTTTCGGGCATTTCATTGGCCTGAATGGAATGCCTGTTAAATAGATACGCAAAAGACGTACTCAAGGGTACAGTCCGGGAACTCCACCCGAGCTACTTCCGCAATCGGAGTAAACAGCCGGGGTGTGGAGAGTGGCAACCAAGTGAAGTGGGGGAGGAGATTAAACTAAACCAACTCCTAAAAAGAAAGTAAGAACATTCCACCTAAGAAAGTGTAAAAACTCATACAAAGTCTATTGAAAGGAGAATTCTTGTTCTTAGACTTGAAAGAACCAGTATTTTTGGTGGAGGGGAGAGGCCAAGTACATGAACTTGCTCTGGACACCCCTCAAATTGCGGATAAATTCGTCCCTTCCCTCCCGATCTCAGGCCCGGCGGAAAGTAGGGTGGAGAGAGTGAGTCACCCACTAGAACCCGAACTCGCCGCTGAAGGATCCAATCTGCAGCGAGGCCGAGGGTTCTGGGACTGGGAGGTGGTTTTGAAACACCATGGTTAGGTGAGCTGGACCTCGGTTCAGCCCCCTACCTCACTCTGCGACTTCAGACTACTCTCTGAATTTACTGGGTCTCAGTTTGGCCTGCAAAATAGGAGTTCTATCTGCTTCATGCCCTGGAGTGTTTGATGAAGATTCATGCATGAGTGGATGTATGTGTATCGTGATTATAAGAGGCCCAGTGACTCTCAAAGGAAACACCTTTGCGCTGGATATCAATGTGGCATTCACAAGTTAGCAAAGACACCTCACTTAGCTCTCTAGAGAAACTTCGTAAGGCAGATAGTGTTCTTGTTTTGCAGAAGAGAAAACTGACTTACCTCGGTCCCCCAGGGAATTTGAACAACCCTGAGACTCAAACCTGTATCTTTTGGCTTCCATTCTTGTATGCCTCCCTTCCAGGCCTGGTGTGCCCTGGGGAACACTTCCCTCCCCCGACCCCTTAGCATTCCAGGGAGGGTCTTGAGGGTACCAGGCCAGTTTCCCACCTCTCAGATCACCATAGACAGGCACAGGCCACCGGCCAGCTATTGTTAATCACTAAGGTTTCAGGAGAAAAGTGACTCTCAGGGTGCGCCTGAGCTGTTTCTGGTATCCTAGGAATCAGGAAGTGAGTAAGGGTTGACAGGTGGGTCAGTAACCAGACAGAATCCCAAAGGAGGACACAGAAGCTCCAAGAGGGGCAGTGACGCCATTGTGGGCCCTCAACAGGGCAGCCTTCGTGCCAAGGACTTAAATCCAGGTCTGTCTGAGCTCAGAACAGAGCTCTTCACTTTACGCTTGTTATTCCCAGAAGGCCTGCTTTGGTTGTAATTTCTAGTTGTTTTTTTGCTCTGGCAAAAAAAAAGGAAGTCAAGAAGAGAGTGGGAGGGGAAGCAGCCTAAGGCTTTAAAGGGGCAGAGACCACCAAATAGGTGATGCTCATGGCCCCAGTGCTGGCTGAGTCACAGGACGTGTCATCTGACAACCAATCACTGTTTAAATCTTGTCTGTAGCCAGTGGGTGCTGGGAAGTGGCAGGTGCTGTGCAGAGGCTTTGGGGGTCAGACTGACCTGAGAATGAATCCAAGCTCCACCACTTTCTAACTCTCTTAACCTCACCAACATCTTTTTTTTCAAGATTTTATTTATTGATTTTTAGAGAGGGAAGGGAGGGAGAAAGAGAGAGAGAGAGAGAGAGAGAGAGAGAGAGAGAAACATCAATGTGCAGTTGCTGGGGGCTGTGGCCTGCAACCCAGGAATGTGCCCTGACTGGGAATCCAACCTGTGAGGCTTCGGTTTGCAGCCTGAGCTCAATCCACTGAGCTAGGCCAGCCAGGGATTTTTAGAAACAGAGAGGGGAAGGGAGTGAGAAAGAGAGAGAAACATCAATGTGTGGGTGCCTCTTGCACGCCCCCTACTAGGAACCTGGCCAGCATACCAGGCATGTGCCCTGACTGGGAATCGAACTGGCAACTTTTTGTCTCACAGTCTGGCCTCAATCACTGAGGCACACCAGCCAGGGCTTTACATCTTCCCTAAAATGGGGAACAGGGTAGTTGTGAAGATTCAATGAGTAAATTGTGGAATTAATGAGGCATGTGTGTAAAGTGACTAGTAGCTATTTATTCGTTCATGAATTCTTCTATTCAATAAAATATTATTAAGTATCGATCATGTGCAGGGCCACCTGCCAGTGGTATAGCTACAATGCTGAGCGAAACAGACTCAGACCCTCCTGGAGCTTAGAGTTTGATGAGGAAGTAACTTGTTAAACAAGTGATCAGATGAGTCAAAATACAGTTAGAAACTGTGATAAGGAACAAGAAGGAAAAGTACAATGTGTTTATGAGAGTGGATGTCAGGGGATGGGGTGGGGTCAGAGGAAGCTTCCTGAAGGAGTGATGTGGTGGGTGAGTCGGTGAGTGGGGGTTAACTAGGCAGCAGGTAGTCGAGAGAAATGTTGCAGGCCAAGGGAGAAGGTGTGGAAGACCTCTAGGCCAACAGGGGTAGTAGCAAGGGGGAGGGAAGGCAAAGTCACTGGATTCTAAACCAATGAGGAGTTACAGGGGACGGAACCTGGCTTGGAAAGTGGGGCTATTCTCCAAGGGTCTCTGTACTTTTCTGATAATGCCTGAAAGAATGCAAGCTCTGAGGCCAGCCCATCTGGATTTGAATCTTGGCCCTGCCACCTTATCTTGGACTGTGTGACCTTGAGCAGCTACCACACCTCTGTGCCTCAGCTACTCTTCCAAAAAATGGGCATAATGATAGGGAGTCAATAAGGCAGGGGTGAGTATTCAATGTGGAAATATATATTAAGCATTCTGGCATAGAGAGGACACTCCAGAAAAAGGTGCTTGGTCTTTCCAGCATGAAGGGAGGTGAACCTGAGGCAACAGATCCAACAGATAGATGCATTTTGGGAGGGAGCTGATGCAAGAATCTATACATTAGGCAAGTGGTCAGTTAACCTTAATTGCCATAGGAGACTTTGGAGCCAGGCAGATGGATTCAAATCCCAGTTATACCACTTCCTAGCAGTGTGACCCCAGGGCAAGTGACTTCGCCTATCTGAGACTCGGTTTCCTTATCCATAAAATGGAGATCGTAATTGTCTCTACTTGCCAGAGCTGCCAAGATTAAATGAGATAATAAATGTGCAGCACTTAGCATAGTGATTGACACATAGTACACAGTTGTTGAATGTTGTTTTTTTAATTTTAATGGTAATTATTGTTATTGGTATCAATAGTTACTACCTGTACTAGACAGGACTCTGGGGCTTTGCTTGTAGGTTGTCTGGCAATAGGAGACTTAGTTTCTCCTTTTAGATAACGGAGGTAGACAAATCGCCTTCAGAGGGGGTGGTGCTGTGCATTTTAATCGTAGTATTAATAAGCACTAACATTAAACATTTACTATTGTATATGCCAACCATGTGCTACGTGCTGTATATTTATTAACTCATAAATCTGCACAGCCAGACCTACGAGTTAGACCATATTATTATCACCATTTTACAAATGAGATAAAGGAAACACAGAGAGGTTAAGTGACTTGTCCAAAGCTACCCAGCCAGGAAGCAGCACAGCTGGAATTTAAACCAGACCTTGAACCTGAGGGGTCTGCTGTTCTTGAGGGCAAGCTCTCCCTCTTCTGTTGAAGAAGTTAGAGTTATCACCTGGAGGGATGAAATGACTCACTGCTGGTGGTAGCAAGTCACCAGGTTCTGAAAGTCAAGCCCTATTCCTTTCCCATCGATTCTAAAAAGTAACCTTTGTCTATTCCCTGTCCCGGGAGGATGATAAGAGCAGGAAACGAACCCTCTTCCCCCGCCAGGGGTATAAAAAATATTTGGAGTTTCCACAACTGGGTCTGAGTCCCAACTATACCGTTTAATGGCTCTGTAATCTTGACCCAGTCATACCCCCTCTTGCAGCCTCAGTTTCCTCATGTATGAAATAGAGATGATGATAATAGCCCTGCCTATGGGGCTGTAGTGAGGAGCAGAAAAAATAAGGCCTGCATAAACTACAAAGTGCTGCCAGCACAAGAGTTCCTCTTCTTGTTGCTATGGGAATGGCAAGCACTCTGGGAAAGCAGCCCAAGCCAGTATAACAGGCAAAATGGCCTTCTCTGAAAAAGAGTCCTGAGTTCGAGTCCAAGATCTTCCTTTTACGCCGTGTATGACCTTGAGTACGTTATTTAACCTGGCCGAGCCTCAGTTTCCTCATCTACAAAATGGAATGAATAATACTGATCTTGTAGAGCTAGAAAGAAAACATGAGAATGCATAAAAAGCCATGAGCCAATGGCTGGTACAGAGCTGGCACAGTGAAACCCGCTAACGGATTCTAGGGAGGGGAGACCAACAAGAATTACCCTGACCCCTCCATGCCAGCACTCTCTGAGACGAGAGTACAGAGCTCTGTGCTCAGAGTCTAGGTCTACAATGGTCTCCAGCCACTATCCTACCTCTTCCAGCATTCCCAGGTCTTGCTGGGATCCCAATTTCTGTCTCCCCACCCCCACACGCTCGCGCTCTCTCTCTCTCTCCCCCACCCCCTTTCTCCCTCTCCAAACAAGTTCTCCACTGAGCAATCCCAGGGGGCCCCCCCAACCTCAGTTCCAGCCAAACTCGAAGGCTTTCCCCGCCTCCACATCCTTAATCCACAGCCTTTGCATTTGCCATTCCTTCCACCTGGAATGCTCTCTCCTCCCAGAGAGCCTTTGATGGGGATGAGGCGGGTGCTGGAGGGAAAGGATCTGGAATGATTCTCCCCCACCTCCTCGCTCCCCTCCCTTGCATTCCCCACGCTGCATGCCTGACCTTCCCCCTCCCAGCCTGGGGACGAGGCAGCACTGGGAGGGGGAGGAATAGGGGGAGGATTCAGTGAAGGGCCCTCTGTGGGGTTTTTCACCTGCTCAGAAGAGGCAGACGGAAATGAAAGCTCTAGAAAAATGCCTGCTGCTCTGCTCCTGAGGCCCCAGCTTGGTGAAGCCTCCCTGTCTTCCCGCTGTGCCATCTTCTCTTCCACCCCCTCCTCCTGCAGGCAGGTGCCATAGTCAAGGAACATGGGTGGGCGGCAGGCCAGAGAGACCAGGGTTCAAATCCTGTTCTTGCCACTTACCCAGTGAGTGGCCTGCTTATGCCACATTTCTTTGTGAAAGGACACAGCAATCACTGCCTTCCAGGCTGCTGTGAGGACTAAGTAAGATGTCAGATGAAAGTCCCCGACACAACCAAAGTGCTCAGCAATGGAGATAATAACAGCGACAGCAAAGACACACCGTGCCCAGGTGTGCCTGGCACAGCTCTCAGCACCTTGACGTATTAGCCTATTTAGTTCCTCATAAGGTAGATACCATTGCTGTCCTCATTTTACAAGTGAGGAAACTGAGGCGCAGAGGTCCTGTAACTTGCCCAAGGTCACACAGCCAGTAAGAGGCAGAGCATCATCTCTCTTCTCACCCACCACACTACGGTTGGTGTGCTCAGTGATAGTTGGTCATGATTATTGTTAATATTGTTTGTTTTAATCTACACGAACTCCACGCCTTCAGTAAGTACATGTTATCCTCTGTCATCCCACCTTCAAAACTCTGCCTGAATTTCCCTTTCTTTATGACACCTTTTAGTCTATTAATTTAATGAGGATATACGGCTCTTTGCTCTGGCCAGGTCTGTGCAGAGCACTGGGGAACCAGGTATCAATCCACCCAGTCTTGGCCCTCCAGTGTCTCTCAATCTGGTGAGGGAGAACACACATACATACAAATTACACACACACACACACACACACACACACACACACAAAGGAGGGAAACACCAATTGCAGCAGGAGCTGTGAGCTCACAGAAGCATAGAACTTACCTGGGGGACTGGGGCAGGTTTACGGAGAGGGGGTCCTTTGTGTGGGGTCTTGACGAATGAGTAGGAGTTCCTCAGACAGAGGTATGATGCGGGCAATATAGAATATGATATGTAGTGCAGATCCTGCCAAAGGGACTGAATTAAGTAACACCAGAGAGTAACATGTCTGGGGGTAGTTCTATGCCAGACCCTGGGCCCTCAGGGAACCTGCAGATTTGGTATGGAGGCATCGGGGTGGGGGGGGGGGAAGCAACACATAGAGTAAAAATATTGATATTAAAGAAAAATCCAGAGGAGCTTTGAAACTACCAAAAAGATACCTAGACCTCTTCAGGGTTCAGTGAAGCCTTCCTGGAGGAGTATTTGATGTCTAGGCTGAGACTTAAAGATCAGAGCTGGATTATGTCACCTACTGCCAGCCCAGCCCATATATAAATTCAACATAAAAACAATACTAACTATAAAATGAGAATAGGAAACTCCAATAAAGTTCTGATTTTTCCACGCACACTATTTCAATGTGTCTTTTATTTAATGATCAAATATCAAATTATTTTTTTAAATGTTTTTAGTGCCCCTGCTCTGCTGCTTGCTCTGCTCATTGGGTAATCTAACAAGAGGGTGGCAGGCTGGAGGGAGTCAACCAGGTGAAAGGTGGAGGAGGGTGTGGCAGGCACAAGGAATTCCACCTGCAAAGGCCCAGGGGCAAGAGAAAACCTGGTGAGGAGCAGAGGAAATGCTTTGATGAGAGCTGGCAAGTGGAAAGTGGCAGGGATAGAGAACTGCGCTAGGTTACCAGATTCTCAGGGTGCCGGGAAGGCTCAAGAGGGTTTTAACCAGGATTCACCACAATCAAATGCCCCTTTTGTGATATCACTCTGAATACAGTATTTACAGGGACTTATATATGGTTTGAATTCATTCATTCAAGAGACACCGGGTACCCACTGTGTTTCAAGCACTGACCCAGGCACTGGGGCTGCAACAGACAATTAAGAGTTCTTCAGACAGAGCAAGACGTGACAGGGACATAGAGTGCCACCCCTACAGAGGTGTCTGAATGGATAAAGGTTTGGAGTGTGGAAGTGTATGACTTTCACAAAAAGAAGCTAAGCCTCGTGCTGGACAAGGAAGCAGCAAAATGGAAGATGGCGCTCAGGAAACTTGCAGCGGAGAGACCAGTGATTCACAAGACAGGAGAATAAAGGAATAAAAGCAGGAGTAGAGGCAATGGGTTAGGGGTGAAAAATCCTGATCTTGTAACCTCCTTAGACGGTGGCCAAGTGGGCAGAGGGACGGAGGCCCCAGCCAACCCCCTCAGCACCCCCATGCTTTCTCAGCCCCGCTGAGCCCTGCAGTTTGTCTTCTGGCTTCCGAAGTCAGACCAAACCCTGGAGGAGAACAGAGGCGGGAGAAGAGGGGGTGGCCGGGAGACAAGCCCAGACCTCTCGCCCCAGCAGGGCCTTCCTTCCCAGCGGCTGGAGCCTACCCAGCTGAGGAACCAGAGGTTGCAGGGAAGGATTAAGGAACTGGTTGCTTTTTTACCCAAACTACGGCTGCATATTTCTTTCTTTTCCTTTCTCTCTCTCTCTCTCTTTTTTTTTTTTAAGAAAAATGTTCCTGTACACGCACCCGGAGGCTTTTGCAGGAGGCGGCTGTTGGAGAACCTGGAAAACAAGCCAAGAAACAAGAGAGAGGAAAAAGACCACGCCTCGCCTGGCAGATTCCTAATGGCCCAGGAGACCTGAGGCTTTACAGTGGGAGTCCGGTGGGGGCTGCCTTGGGTGGGAGGGAAGGGCAGGCCGAAGGACAGCCACTTGCTGGCCGGTGACCTTGGGCGGGATGCTGCCTGCTTCCCTCTGGTGAGAATGGGGAGGAGGGGGGGCAGGGGCAGGGCTGGCCGGCTGAGGTCACAGGAAGGCCCCTTCAAGCCTGAAACGCGATCTCGGGATGTGGGGCCTGCCAACCTGCAGCGACCCTGGGCCAGCAGAGATGAAAGACTGCCTGTCCCCAGCTTCCGGACCCCTGAGGCCCCAATGCCTCAAACTTGAAGGGCAGTAAAGCTGCTGCAGCTGGCTAGAGCCGGTTGCTGGGCTCCCCACCCCACCTGATGTCATCCAACCCTCCCTTCCCTGTTTTGCAGAGGACGCTCGAGCCCAGAGAGGGCTGGTGACCTGCCTGAGGTCACACAGCAAACTGGAAGCTGAGCCAGGACTACATCACAAAGTCTTTGGACTGCAAGTCCAAGCCTCATTCCCTTTCCCAGAAACTTGGCTGCCTGGGGGCTTACCCTGGGGAGTTGGAGAGACCCAGACTTAGGGAAGACAGTTGGGAGTTATGTCTGTTTAAAAACTTAATGTTGACTGAAGTGCCTTTTTTTTTTTTTTTTTAACAGAAAGAACCCTTCCCAGCCCCTGCCATGAGCCTGGACTTGCTCTGCTGGCAGTGGAAGGAATGTGGCTCTGGCCGCCACAGCTGCTGGTGGCCAGCTGCGGCTTCAGCTCCTGCTGCTCCCACCCCAGTAGGCAAAGGGACAAAGGCCTCTTCTTAGGCTTGTCCCTTTGGATCAGTGGGGGCAGAGAATCCACAGAGAATCCACCAGGAGGCTTGGCCACTGACCAGCTAATAACTTAGCTGTTCCCCTCTGGACCTCAGTGCCCTTTCTGGAAAATGGGGACAGAGTATTTGCCTGACTTATTTCTTGGCATTGTCTTCCAAAGGGGGGAAGTTACAGAAGTGCACTCCTCCCTGCACCTCCTTCTGCTTGAGGGTAGAGGGTCTGCCTACTTAGAGACCTCTCTGCCTCAAATTCCCCTCCCTACCTCATGCTATACCTAGCCAACCCCTACTCACTCAGCTCAGCTCAGCTCAGCTCAGCAGGACCATCCCCTACTCTGGGGAGCCTGCCCTCACCTCAAGACTGTGCTGCTCCTGCAGGCTATTTATCACTATTGTGATTAAATAATTAACTGTATCATCGGCTCTGTCTCATCACTAAAATGTGAACCCTATAATAATAACAATAGCTGACACTGACCAAATGTTTCTCCAGTGCCAGAGACTTTGCGTGTATCAACTAACCCGCTTAATCCTTTTGGCAGGTCCTGTTAGATCGCCCATCCTACAGATGAGGAAACTGAGACAGCGAGAGGTTCAATAACTCACCTGAGGTCAGAGTAAGTTGGAGGCTGAGTCAGGACTTGGTACAAAGAAGTTGCAGAACCAGGATTCAGATCCAGACCCCAAGCTGTAACCGTTCCCCCACTAATAAGTCAGGTCAGCTTGTTCCCTGCCTCTTCCCAGTTCCCAGAACACCTGGTGTACAGTAGGTGTTCCATTTATACTGGGTGAATGAATGCATGGACAGGTGATGGATACACATGAGTATCTGGAGAAGAATAAAGCACCTTCCAGGAGTGAGTTTTGCAGGAATACCATACAGGGAGCGGAGCCGTGGGCAGGGCAGGGGACGCCCGATATGCAGTAGTTCCCCCTTATCTGCCTTTTCACTTTCTGCAGTTTCAGTTACTGGCGGTCAACCCTGAGGTCTTAAAATATTAAATAGAAATTTCCAGAAATAAACACAAGTTTTCAATCATGCCCCACTCTGAGTAGTGTGATGACATCTCACTGTCCTGCTCTGTCGTGCCCGGTACAGGTATCCTCATGGTGTACGCTCCCTGCTACCTCCTCAGCCACTTAGTAGCCACTTCCATTATCAGTTAGATCAACTGTCAGGGTAGCACAGCACTTGAGTTCAGGAAACCCTTATTTCACTCACTAATTGCCCCGAAGCAGAAGAGCAATGATTCTGGCAATTCGGGCATGCCAAACAGAAGCGATAATGTGTTTCCTTTAAGTGAAAAGGTGAGTATAACAGTACAGTAAGATGTTTTGAGAGGGAAGGAGGCCACATTCACATAACTTTCATTACAGCACATTATTATGATGGTTCTATTTTATTATTGTTGTTCATATCTTACTATGCCTAATTTATAAGTTAAACTTTATTATAGGAATGTATGCATAGGAAGAAACATAGCATGTATAGGTTTCAGTACTAATCTGAGGTTTCAGGCGTCCACCCGGGGTCCTGGACCACATTCCCCCGCAGATAAGGAGGGACTACTCTATTGTTTTTGTTTCTGTTTTAATATTTTATATATTTATTTTTAGAGAGAGGGGGAGGGAGGGAGAGAAACATCCACGTGTGCTTGCCTCTCCCGCCCCCCCACTGGTGACCCGGCCTGCAACCCAGGCATGTGCCCTGACCGGGAATTGAATCGGCAACCTTTTGGTTTGCAGCTGGGCACTCGATCCAATGAGCCACCCCAGCCAGGGCAGGACTACTCTATTGTTAAAGACCAAATTACTGGGCTTCCTTCTGCAGCATGTGGGCCAGAATTCTGGGATATCATCTTTGACTCCTCCTACTTCATCTGTTAGAGCCAATCCGTGCCCAGGTTCTTCTTGGTTTCTCCCCAGCGCACCCCTGCTTCTCCATCTCTCTTTTGCTTGGATTTTTGCAGCAACTCCTACATAGGCTTCTCGGTCTCTAATGTCTTCTCCTTCAAAATGGGCCTCTAGCAACAGAAAGTTAATTGTGGGCATCATCCTTCTTTACCCCTTCCCTCACTAATGGACCTTCCATGGCTCCCCATTGCTCTCTGGATAAAGCCCACACCAAGCCCATGAAGGCTTTCACCACCCAACCACTACTTCCACCCTTCCAGCCTCAACTCCTGCCCCTCTCCTCCACATGTCCTTTGCCTAAGCCACTGTATGTAGTAGAAGTTAAGAGCATAGAAGCACACAGACCTCGGTTCAAGTCTCGGTTTCACCATTTACAAATTAATTCCTTTCTCTAAGCCTCAGTTACTGCATCTGGAAAATGGGCATAATTGTAATGCCTAGAGTCACTGGAGGGATAAAATGAATACATAAGGTGCTGAGCACAGTAGCTGAGACTCTCAAGAGTAACTATAATTCTTATACTTTCCTTTGCCATAAAGAGCACTTCTTACTGTCAGTCTTACTTATTCTTTATGACCCAGTTCAATTGTCACTTCTTGGAAGAAATTTTCCTTGATATTACACTCTGTTCCCCAAGCAAAATCAGCCTTACTTTCTATACTCACTTGCACTTTGCACCTTTATAAAGCACTTGCAATGTTGGTGCACTCTCTTTCCCCTGCTCTCCCAAGAGTTAGTTCCCCAAGAGCAGGAACACAAATGTCCTTCTGAACTCTAGCCAGAGCCTGGCATGCAGCAGGCACTCAATAAGTGAAATGAATTGAGTTACCACTTTCAGTGCCTTTCTTGAGTACCTGGCAGGGAGGAAACCTGAGTGATGAGACAGCTGGGACTCTGCTGGGACCTGGTTGCCTGAGTCCCACTCCAGCTCTGGTGTGGGGTTTGTTGATATGTGTGGGAGTGGGAGTGGGAGTGGGAAACTCCTCACCTCTGGGCTCTTTTTTCCTGGCAGGAACTCTTCTGTTCTCCAAAGGAGAGAGAGAAAGGGGAGAGGAGGTCCAGGAGCTGAGCAGAGGTGAAGGTGGGGCTATAGCAGGAGCCAGGGTGTGGATGGGAGCTGGCAGACTCCACCTCCTCTAAGCCCAGGGCTGGGCCTGGCAGAACAGGGCCTCACAGCCCAAGTCCCCACCTGCAATGCGCCACCTCATCTGAGCACCTGGGCTAAGTGACTTTTCAAGTCGTAAAACTACATCTTGATTTGCAAGGAAGGAGAATCCAAGCCTGGCCTTGTCCTGTTGCTGAGCAAGGAGAAATAAAAGGAGTGTTTCCTTTTATTCTTTCTGTCTAGGCAACACCTTGCAATCCTGAAGTATTATCAAAAAAAGTAATACTCTAATAAGTTATCATGTATTTCACATTGCTCTCAAGTAATTGTGACTTTGACACACTAAACTAAGTCTTCACTATTGCTTTTCTCTTTTAAAAATTTTATTTACTTATTTTTAGAGAGAGGGGAAGGGAGGGAAAAAGAGAAAGAGAGAAACATCGGTGTATGGTTGCCTCTCACATGACCCCTACTGGGGACCAGGCCGACAACTCAGGCATGTGCTATGACTGGGAATCAAACCGGTGACCCTTTGGTTTGCAGGCCGGCACTCAATCCACTGAGCTACACCAGCCAGGGCACTATTACTTTTCTGATGAATGTAATAAATGTGCTTTATAGAATATTTGGAACATCTAAGAAGGTATAAAGAAATAGAGACCAAAAATCAAATAAACAGAAATAAAATCCAAACTCCTAAATAAAATCATTGTTAAAATTTGGCATCTTTTTCCAAATATTTTTTCTTTGCATTCAGAAATGTAACTAATATATTAAAGATATTTAGTGTCCCGGAAAAAAAAATAAAAGAATGTAATACTCCATTTTGCAAACCTCAATTTAGGTCACATTATCCTCAACTGTTGAAGTTGCTTCATGTGCTGCTCCTGCCACTCCCTCAACTTTAAAACCCTTCTCTGACCACCTAGTACCGTCAAGATAAAGCCCTAACTTCTAATCCAGGCCATGAAGCCTTGTGTGATCTGGCCCCGTGGGCCCAGTGCCTCACGGACTTTGTCTGGCTCTGCTCTCCCCCTGCCTTCTCTTCACTTGTGGCATTTTCTCAGTTCTTCCAACACACCTTGTCCCTTCTTTCCTCTGGGCCTTCACACATACTACTTTCTCTGGCTTGAATGCTTTTCACCATCCCCTGATACTTTAGTTTTATGTTTAGTGCTATTTTTTTAATTTAAATTTATTTTTAGAGAGGGGGTAGACAAGGAGAAAGAGAGGGAGAGAAATATGGATGCAAGAGAGAGACATCGACCGGTTGCCTCTCACATGCACCTTGACAGGGAATTGAACCAGCAACCTTTCACCCTGTTGATGATGCTCCAACCAACTGAGCCACACAAGCCATGGCAGTTTGGTGGGGGTTTTTTTCCTTTATTTTTAATTTTTTAACTCTTTTTTAAAGATTTTATTTATTTATTTTTAGAGAGAGGGGAAGGGAGGGAGAGAGAGAAACATCAATGTGTGAGAGATACAGCAATCAGTTGCCTCTCGCACACCCCCCAACTGGGGACCTGGCCCGCAATCCAGGCATGTGCCCTGACTGGGAATTGAACCAGTGACCTTTTGGCCCACAGACCGTCACTCAATCCATTGAACCACACCAGCCAGGGCTGTTTAAAGCTATATATATATATATAAAAATATATAAATATATAAATATATATATATATTTATTTATTTATTTATTTGAGAGAGAGAGAGAGAGGGGAATGGAGAGAGAAAATTGAGTTGTTGCCCACTTATTATATATATTCTTTGGTGGATTCTTGTATGTGCCCCTCACCAGGAATTGAACCCACAACTTTGGTGTATCAGGAGAATGTTCCAACCAACTGTACTACCCAGCCAGGGCAGTTTAGTGCTTTTGATGCCTAAGAAATCTTTGCCTATCCCAATGTCATGGAGCTATTTCTGTATATTTTATTTTAGAGGCTTTATAAGGTCAGTTTTCATATTTAGGTCCATGATTCATATTAAATTAATTTTTGTGTGGTGTGAGGTAGGGATTGAGAATTATTCCCATTCTGTGAATTCCTACTCATTCTTTACCGTTTATACCTCACCTCATCTGAGAAGCCTCCCTCCACTACTCATGCACTAGATCAGACCCTCCCATTCCACACCCATAGTGTCCTTTGCTTTGTAGCATTCGCCACATTTGTAATGAAATAATTATTTGTGTAACTAGTTGTTTAACATCTTATCTCCTCAAGTATACTGTAACTCTGTGAGCTCAATGCTTGTGACTACCTTTTAAAAAGATTTTATTTATTTATTTTTAGAGAGGGAAGGGAGGGAGAAAGAGAGAGAAACATCAATGTGTGGTTGCTGGGGGC